GTAATGATGACGAAGATGATAATGATGATGAGATTATAATGATGATGAAAAAGGTAGTAAAGATAATGATAGCAATGGTAATGGCAGTAAAGACACACACACACACACACATATATATATATATACTTAAGATGAGGCAAAGCAGTTGTACACTGAAATAGGTAAAATGCAGTCTTCCCTGCCAATGTCTCGAACCTTTGCCCTTGCAGCTATTACCCAGAATTAGCATTACCGAACCCGGTGAAAATGTGACGCAACGGAGATGGTACCAGTCTGCCAGATGGCAGACGGGACTGCATGCAAGCCCTTTGCCATAGGCTCTCCACCAGCCTTTAACAATTTACCTGGAATGCCACAAACACCTGCTGCTTTTCCACTCTTCCGCTTGGAAATCGCCCCCCTGACTTCAGTCAGGGAAGGTGGATCCTTGCTGATGGGTGGGTCTGGCAGAGGAATCTCAACATTACCCGCATCCATATTTACTAGGAAATGACTTTCGACCTCCTCTGCAAGATTCCTGATAAACTTCTTTATCCCTTCTCAACAGTGACATAATCCTGCGATCCCTTGACAATCGAGCCGCATAAACATTTGTGGCTTCCAGTGTCTCCTGTGAGATGGAATTGTCTTGCTCTTGGGCGTTTACCAATCGATTCTTGGGCTGCATCAAGCGTTTCACACTTCAAGGTGTCCCACAAAAGAACAGGGTCCGTCAGGCCTGTGCTGTGAAACGACCGGAGATTTTTTTTTTTTTTTTTTTTTTTTTTGTCCCATGTCCATGTGAACGTAGAGGACATGTTCGCAGAGAAACATGCTTACTAGGCCGCGGGATGATGCGGTAGGGTGGCCAGTTCCTTTCCGCCCCGACTTTGACCCCGACATGCTGACGTCAGCATATCAGTACTCATTCACAGCTGAGTCGACTGAGAGGGGCGGCGGCCGGGCGCGAACCCGGGACCTTGCGACGTGTCTGGTAGAGCCAGTGATGTGCAATAAATAATCCTACAAGGAAAGGTACCACAAGGGAAGACTAGAAACAAGGAAAGGCATTTGGAATCCAAACGAGTTCCATCATGGACAGGTAGTGTACAAAGTGTTGGGAAAACTATTGTTTAATTATTCATTTATTGTTTGTGTGTGTGCAAGATACCACGGAAATACCAAAAAGGAACGGGGCATAGCGGCAAATCCCGTAACCCGCTAACCCCTTTGCAATTCTCAATTAAGGTAAGAATCGACCCAAATCAGCACGCGGGTCCAGACATTTGCACTCTTCTGCCAGAACATGCGAGGGGAAGATTTTGCAGGCCAGGTAGGGTGGGTGAGGGGTGCATTTCAAAGCAAAGTTACTGACTTAACTCGATCCTTCGCTTTTGTCCGGCAATTCCCAGGTTTTCTTTCATATTCTCCCTAACTAATGGGGCCGAAATCATAGATATGTGTGCGACGGGAGGGGGGGGGGGTACATTCGTTCGAAACACGAACACGAAATTGCTGTTTAGAGCCATTTCTATGCATACCATATATACATATATATGTGTGTGTGCCTTTGCCCCCCGCCTTGTTACCTCCCTGACTGCGACATCTACGGGTGACGCCTAGAAACCTTTGCCAGGCTGTCGGACTTCTGCTCCTGATAGTACACTGTGACCATTCTAAATCGAACGATAATCCTGGATAGTATTAATGATGTTTAAGGCAGAGGGAGCGAGGTGGCACAAATATTTGATACATTATAAGATGGAACTACGCACCCTCTGCATCTTGCTAATTTGTTGATCTTCCCGTTTCAGGGTTTACTCCGTTACACTTGGCGGCTCAGGAAGGGCACGAAACGACGGCAGAGAAGCTCATCGACAAAGGCGCTGATGTGAACGCGAAGAACACAGAGGGTAAGGATCGTTTACATATGCCCGAGGTGGGCCCTTCTTGAAGACGTCAGGAATTCGCCGTCACTGAACCACATATTGTGGCGTTTTATACATAGTCATAACTCTATATATATATTGTTTTGTCTTATTAATATAGTTCACACTGAAAAACAACCGTGGCCCTTCTCAGGCATTCATTGTGAACACGAAGGAAAACGACCGTGAATTTCTTCCAGATATGCCTCAGGTGGTTTCTTCTGAAACTATTAAACTAAATAGATTGGTGCTTTAAATATAAGCATAAATTATACTATTCATACTACTTTTATCTTTATTGTAATAATTATTGTTATTGATTTTTTCCTATCTATGTATTGCATAATGATAATAATTGAAATAATAGGAAAAAGAAAAAGAACAATTATATAACAAAAATCCGTATAATTTTATAATGATGAATGTAACCATAATAGAAATAACAGTGATAACATAAAAACTACTGCTACTAATTGTAATTTATTTTTTCTTTTTACTATTATAGGGATAATGATAGCAAAGATAATGTTACTAACGAGAAAGGTGATAATAATAATATTATTAATAATGGTAATAACTATAGGGATCCCTGGAAATTCCATGGGGGGGAGGGGGAGAATAAGTGATACTTTCTCCCTCTCCCTCTCCTACCTTTTGCTCTTCTCTGCTTTTTCTTTTCCCTCTCCATCTCCTCAACTTTCCCTTTCCCGCTGTCACTCCATTTATTTCTCCTTACCCATCTCCTTTTCCTCTTCAATTCTCCTCCTTTTCCTCTCTCTTTCCTCTTCTCTATCTCCATTTCTCCTCGCTTTCCTCGTCTCTGTCTCCATTTCCCCTCTCTTTTCTCTTCTCTATTTCCATTTCCTTTTTAAACCCCTTCCCCTTCCCTTTCCCCCTTCTTTCTTAACCTCCTTCCCCTCTGGATAGTCGTGTATATATGTGCATAAACTGATGCTCTAACTACTTCCGTGCAATGTACTTGCCTCGAAGAAGAATGATAATAATAATAATAGGAAAAATAGCAATGATAATGACATGATGATAACAGTAATAAAACTATTTAATATTTACTAGTAGCAACATCAATGATCATGATTGATATCATGGTTATTATAACCATGATATTGATGTTAATGGTAATTTTAGTAATAAAAATGATAATTACACGATGGTCATTACAATAATTGTATTAGTAGTAATAATCAATATAATGATATTGATGATAGTTCTAACAGCATTGATGATAATAACATTACTACTACTACTAATAATAATAACTATAAGTATTACAACGATCATAGTGATAATCACTAAACATGACCACATTTATACATACATATGTGTTTATGGGTCGGTAAGCCCTCTGGAAAGGGAATTGATGGGACGAAGCCCTCTATATACTGCGTTTGTGCATTCCATAGCAGAGTTACTGACTTAACTCGATCTTTCGCTTTTGTCCGGCAATTCCCAGGTTTTCTTTCATATTCTCCCTAACTAATGGGGCCGAAATCATAGCTGAGCTATGTGTCCGACGGGAATGAGTGATACATTCGTTCGAAACACGACGGAAATTGCTGTTAGGAGCCATTTCTATACATACCATATATACATATATATATGTGTGTGCCTTTGCCCCCCGCCTTGTTACCTCCCTGACTGCGACATCTACGGGTGACGCCTAGAAACCTTTGCCAGGCTGTCGGACTTCTGCTCCTGATAGTACACTGTGACCATTCTAAATCGAACGATAATCCTGGATAGTATTAATGATGTTTAAGGCAGAGGGAGCGAGGTGGCACAAATATTTGATACGTTATAAGATGGAACTACGCACCCTCTGCATCTTGCTAATTTGTTGATCTTCCCGTTTCAGAGTGTACTCCGTTACACTTGGCGGCTCAGGAAGGGCACGAGGCGACGGCAGAGAAGCTCATCGACAAAGGCGCTGATGTGAACGCGAAGACCACAAAAGGTAAAGATCGTTTACATATGCCCGAGGTGGGCCCTTCTTGAAGACGTCAGGAATTCGCCGTCACTGAACCACATATTGTGGCGTTTTATACATAGTCATAACTATATATATATTGTTTTATCTTACTAATATAGTTCACACTGAAAAACAACCGTGGCCCTTCTCAGGCATTCATTGTGAACACGAAGGAAAACGACCGTGAATTTCTTCCAGATATGCCTCAGGTGGTTTCTTCTGAAACTATTAAACTAAATAGATTGGTGCTTTAAATATAAGCATAAATTACACTATTCATACTACTTTTATTTTCATTGTAATAGTTATTGTTATTGATTTTTCCCTATCTATGTATTGCATAATGATAATAATTAATATAATAATAGGAAAAAAGGAAAACAATTATAATAACAAAAATCCGTATAATATTCATAATGATGAATGTAACCATAACAAAAATAACAGCGATAGCATAAAGAGTACTACTACTATTTTTTTTTTTCTTTTTTTACTATTATAGGGATAATGATAGCAAAGATAATGATACTAACGAGAAACATAATGATAATAATAATGATATTAATAATGGTAATAACTATAGGGATTCCGGGAAATACCAAGGGGAAGGGGGGGGGGGATAAATGATACTTCTTTCTCCCTCTCACTCTCCTACCTTTTGGTCTTCTCTCCCTTTTCTTTTCCCTCTCTATCTCCCTCAACTTTCCCTTTCCCGCTGTGTCACCCCATTCCACTCTGTAATCTTTCTTTTATTTACTCCTCCCCTCTCACTTTCCTCCCTAAACTTCCCCGCTTTCTCTACTCTTGTCCTCTTCCCTCACTCTCCCATCCCCCCTTTTTCTCTAAGCCTTTTCTCTTTCACCATCCCTTTCCCCTTACTCATATCCTTTCCTCTTCAATTCTCCTTTTCCTCTCTCTTTCCTCTTCTCTATCTCCATTTCTCCTCTCTTTCCTCGTCTCTGTCTCAATCTCCCCTCTCTTTCCTCGTCTCTGTGTCCATTTCCCCTCTCTTTTCTCTTCTCTGTTTCCATTTCCTTTTTAATCCCCTTCCCTTCTCCCTTTCCCCCTTCTTTCTTAACCTCCTTCCCCTCTGGATAGTCGTGTATATATGTGCATAAACTGATGCTCTAACTACTTCCATGCAATGTACTTGCCTCGAAGAAGAATGATAATAATAATAATAGGAAAAATAGCAATGATAATGACATGATGATAAGAGCAATAAAACTATTTAATATTTACTAGTAGCAAACATCAATAATCATGATTGATATCATGGTTATTATAACCATGATATTGATGTTAATGGTAATTTTAGTAATAAAAATGATAATTACACGATGGTCATTACAATAATTGTATTAGTAGTAATAATTAATATAATGATATTGATGATAGTTCTAGCAGCACTGAAGATAATAACATTACTACTACTACTACTAATAACTATAAGTATTACAACGATCATAGTGATAATCACTAAACATGGCCACATTTATACATACATGTGTTTGTGCCTTTGTGTATTTCTTATGTATATATTTATATACACTGTTGAAGGTCAGTAATCACAACTATTAGACACATGCTATAAAGATAAAAGGCAAAAAGAGGTACAAGTATTTCCGGACACTGCACACTACATTTCGTTTATTCGTTCCAGGGAACACCCCGTTATACCTGGCAATTCACAACGGGCACACAGCGATGGTAGAGGCGCTCGTTGCTAAAGGCGCTGACTTGAACGCTAAGAACAACGCTGGTAAGGCAATTTGAGATAAAATTGAGGGGGTTTTACAGTAGAGATAACAGGAATTTGGCACCGATATTAGACTAAATATATTAGTGCTTTAGATATGAATATATGAATATGTTTTTTTCTGTTGGTATTATCGTTATCAGTTCATCATCTGTTATGTTCTGTATTTCATTATTAAAACGTTTATCATTATGATTGAAGTATTTCTGCTAACTTTATTATCGATGTTATATTCATTATAAGTTTACCTGATTTTTTATTTAATAATTAGTATCACCATTGTTGTTATAAGGATTTTTTTTGTAATTTGTGAGAATCGTTCATCTTGTAGTTATTGTTAGTTACCATTCCTGCATTTATTACAGTATAACTTTTACTATTATCATAATGGTTACTGTTATGATTATCATTATCATCAGTGATGTTATTATTATCACTATTATTGTTGTTAGCATCATTATTTTGTTTTTTCTAATACTATTACTATTATGTCATAGAATGTAATTAAAATCACATACTCGTATATTTTATTCTGCAAAAACAACACAGAACAAACAAACAACAATATATGGATACCACATGTATGCATGCACGAAGCAGAGCGTACCACTAGATATAAACCAACAAAATTGATTATTCTACAGAGGGGACATGCCACCATAATTAATATCTTAATACTGCTATTCATCAAAACAAAAACAAATCTAAAACTATTATTTTCCCCCAAAATTTCTTCGGTGATAAGACTCAACATCTCTTCCCAGCAGCGTCGACTCTTACGAGGTACTTACATATTTAAAAAGACCTTCCTGCGATTCCTTTTCCTATACCTGCCACGGTAGAAAACCTGCCGCTCGACCTAAGGCGGGGGTGCTAGAATTTGATACATTTAACCCATTGGTGCCGGGTATGACGTGTACGTACGTGCTATGCCCACCGTGAGTACTTGTTTGATTGTTTTTACGCATAGATGGCAACACTTGTACCAACTACGAGCACCGCCCGTCTCGCCCGTTTACCCGATTCTTTGATTTACGAAATATTTAACGTTATCTTATTTTGCTGTTACTAATGATAAAAAACATTATAAAAATTATAATGTTTATGATAAAAATAACACCATCGATTTTCATAGCACTAGTGAAAAATACGTTTTACCCGCCATTTCAAATCAGGCGCTAGCAGAGCCATCTATCGGCAGACATTTCACGAAAAACATAGAAAGTGGGCCCAGCATTTTCCCCATTTTTTGTTCATTTTTCCCCGGCGGCATTGGGTTAAGAAGTGGAATTAGTCTCCATCTTGTTTAATCTATTCAGGGCATACTCCACTACACTTAGCTGCTGAAGAAGGCCATGAAGTGGTGGTAGAGGCGCTCATTGCCAAAGGAGCTAATGCCAACACGAAAGACGACATGGGTAAGGTTATCTCAGATGTGGCTCAGGTGGTTCTCTGGTAATGTAATATATATATATATATATATTTGTGACCGCCGCGATAGCTCAGTCGTTAGAGCACTGGACTCCGACCCTCGTGGTCCCTGGTTCAATTCCCCGTCGCGGCAGTCGTAAAAATGCCTGCGCTCTGACTCCAGCCCGAGAAAACGACATACCGCCTTGAGAAGTCAAACGCAGGTGCCGTAGGGAAAGTCACCGCCGTGGCACAAGTGTTAGCGCGCCGAATCGCGGTTGATTAGGAAGGGCATCCAATCAGGCCATGGTGACACCGCCATATAACCTCTCAATACTGAATTGAGAGAGGCCTATGTCCTGCAGTGGAATGAATGGCTGTTGAAAAAAAAAAATAATAATAATAATATACATATATATATATATATATATATATATATGTATATATATATTTGTATGTATACATATGTTTATATACATCTACAAATATATATATATATATATATATTTATATATATATAAGTATGAATATATATATATGTGTGTGTGTGTGCGTGCGTGCGTGCGTGTGTGTGTGTGTACACACACATATATATATGCATATATATATAGATAGATAGATACATGTTTGTGTGTATGCGCGTACATGTGTAAATGTGTGTATATATATACATATGTATACACATAAATACAATTACACACATGTATGTTGTACATACACCACACACACGTATATTTATGCATGTGTCTGTACAAGTTTATCAATTTCCTTTTTTATTCTGCGAACAGCTTATCTGCACATAGAAAAAGTAGCTGAAGATTAGACTTACATGTCACTCTTACAGCTCTGATAACGTTTCTATCTTCCCTGCCAGGTCAGACAGCGATGCACATAGCAGCTTCGGAGGGCCATCTCCACGTCCTGTACACGCTGGTGAAGCTTGGCGTCGCTACCAACGCGAGGAACGGCCGAGGAAAGACGCCCAAGGAAATGCTGAAAGGAACTTCCACGACTGCAGATTACGACATGGAAGTCTTCAAAGGCATCTCACTGGTACTGGTGCTGGAAGCTGTTTGTAGGAACTTTTTTTTAATCTTCTTTCTTTTCATTTATGGCGATTTTTTTTCTTTCTTTTTTTTTTTTTTGGTAGGGTGTTAGACAACGCAATTAATATTAATAGTGTTAATCTGATAATGGAGCAGGAATCTGTCAATACGAACTTTTTCATGATGCTAGCTTCTTTTTCTTCTATGATGAATGTCTTTTTTTGCAGGAGAGAGGGGTAGAAGGCATAATTAATATTGAATCACTCCTTTGTTAACCTAAGAAATCTGTTCATGATACTAGATACTCTTGTATGGCTAATGATTTACTTTTTTTCTACGTTTTTCCCTTTTTTAAGGGGATTAGACAGCATAATTAGCAATGAATCAGTCCTATGTTAACCAGTTGGATTCCATTACAGATAGAGATAATGGAGAAGTACCTCGCAGCTGAAAAGGGGAAGGTCGGCCTACAGAGAGACAAGAGGGCGCTTCAGGTTAGAGACGGACTGGCCTCCTGCCCTGGATCTGGCATTTCAGGGAGATGGAGATGCAGTCCCACGCGCGTTGCTGAGGGGAATAATCGAGAGAGAAAGAGAGAGGGAGAGAGAGAGAGAGAGACAGAGAGAGAGAGAGGGAGAGGGAGAGAGAGAGAGAGAGAGAGAGAGAGAGAGGGAGAGAGAGAGAGAGAGAGAGTTTGCGCATGCGTGCATGTATACTCAAATATACATACACACAAACATATACTGTGTGTGTGACTATGTGTGTGTGTCTATATATGTGTGTGTAAGAGAGAGAGAGAGAGAGATAGAGAGAGACAGAGACAGAGAGAGAGAGAGAGAGAGGGGGGGGGGGAGAGAGAGAGAGAGGAGAGACAGAGAGAGAGAGAGAGAGAGAGGGGGGGGGGGGGAGAGGCGGTGGAAAGATGGATGGAAACAGAAATAGGCAGCGTTTCACACGGACATGCCTTTCCATGCACCCGCGCGCGTTCATGCCATTCCCTCTTCGCAGAATGAACATAAAGAGGAGCTGAAGAGGATGAAGGAAGATCAGAGAAGAAGAGACGCTGACTCTCGGGGAATGAAGAAGGAAATCGCTGCTTTGAAAGAGAAGATCAAGGCGATGGAGGTGAGGCAGAGAGGAGAGGGAGAGGGAGGGGGAGAAGGAAGGAGAGAGATAATTATATATATATACATATATATATATACATATATATATATATACACACACACACACACACACACATATATATATAGAGAGAGATAAATAGGCAGATAGAGAGAGAGAGAGTTTTTTTTTTTTTCTTTTTTTTTTACTCACTTGTCATTGTTATCCATGATCCCTTGAGTTTACCTACAGCCTTTGGTATCGATTAATACTGAAGGAAAAGACCCTTCTCCTTACTTCCTACTTTTCCACAAACCTTCGAGGCTTTGCACGTGGATATACTGCAGTATTCTTGAGACGGGAAAGCGCTTTCGGTTTTCTGAAGACTAACTGTTAGGCTGTAGACTTTTCCCTGAAGAAGTGCGTTTCGTGTCAACCCCGAGGCCCGACCAGCAAGAAACGGAAAAACCTCGGGGTTATTTGTGTACAAGAGGCATAGGTAGGATATAGTACATATATATGTATATATAGTTTTATACATAAGTATAATTTTATCAGTATTGTCTTGGTGCTACATTTTTCTTTTTTTCCTTTTATTCTATTACTAATTTTATGATTTTATATATTATTGTATTGCTGATTCACAAATAAATGGTCACGCTTCTATGTTTATGGTTATGGAATAAGCAAAGGGTTATCTTATCTTTAAGTTTGACTGTTTTGCATTTGCCTTTTAAACATACACTTTTAAGGCCAATCTATGTTTACGCATTCTATGTGTGGGAGAGTGTGACATTATATCAGGTCGAGATGGCTCTCTCGTATTGCTCGTCCTCAAGGGCTGTCTGGATACGTACCACAAGAGTGGTGCTGTGTCTTTGGCAAATCGACCATCAGTAAGCCGTCAGTCAAGAGCTCAGATCCAGAGTGCCCCAACATCTGCCACAGCACATGTTCGACTGCTCTGACACCCAAAATCTGCGGTCTGCCCACGGTGTCGGAGCGGTAGTCCTCCACATTGAGGACCAACCAATCTCTGGGGAAGACAGCGGAGCAAATACCAGCGAGGAGGAAGAACTTTTCCAGTTTGAACCTCGAGAGCACGTAAAAACAATCTTGCAACTCAGCAGATTAAAAAAAAAAAAAAAAAAAAAAAAAAAAAAACTTGCTAAAGTTCCTTAATAACCCATTGCTGGACTGGACACTGGTGTTTCCATTGTCAACTTTTACGACAACCTCATTGCTGCAACTACTATCTGTGCAGTTAAACTGAAAACTATAGCCTGCACAGCCAACCCAACAAAATTGACCAGGCTACTGGTTATCAGGCAGCCTAATCACAAATACCTCAAAATCAGTCACACCCACAGTAAACTTCATCTCAACATCTGCAACAGCCACATCAGCTGCCATTGTCTCAGCTTGACAATCGAAACAGCCAGCCGTCTAGATCAACTCCACCTTAACAGGAACCGACAAATCAGGCCCGGCTGAATCAAGCACAGGTTCACACACAGCATAAATATAAGCCCTATAGCCCCCAGACGATCACTCATAATCGACAGTAGAGATCTAACAGGCAGACTCTTGTAAAATCAAGGGTCACTCCGAAAACAACTGCCACAGGATCAAAGAATGTGAATATTGCCATCGTAGAGGACATCTTACATCTGAGTGCCGAAGAAAAAGATGAAGAGGAAAGATCAAGAACGCGTCTTCCAATGCACTACTGTAGAGCAGCATCAATGTAATGCTATTTTGGTACACGCAATACACAAGCACTTGACATACACTCCACACAATTCACATCTTTCCTTACAAGCCAACGGATTGCCAACACCAGCCATTCAGCTACCCAACTAACAAACTACTAGCTCTCTGTAAGGTCCCTGGTACAGAATGCACGGGTCTTTTGGAGGCATCGGTGTCTGCTTTCGAAGAGCATAGCAGATCATCTCGAACGCTTGGTGCTCTCATTGCCTGTGTCTGCTACAGACCCCAGTTGCAAGGCTCTGAAAACTTGTTTATCATCAAGCCAACCTGGATAATATTCTCCATGCATACTCTTGCAAAAATATCATAATACTAGGGGATCTGAACCATCACTTGGTTGAAAGATCATTTGAAAAGCTCCTCAATGCATTCAGGCTTACAAATCATGTCCATTTCCCGACCCTCATATCAGGCTCATTCCTTGACCCTGTGATTACTGATCTGGCTGAATCAGATGTCATTTGTTCTTCCCTGGGCACAGTTGTCTCCTCTGATCACTTAGCAGTATTAAGCAAGACCAACCTAAAAGCTGCACGACTGGAAACTTTATCCCGTACAACCTGAAAATACTAGCTAAAAATACTACTATATGGGAAATACTAGCAAGGCATGTGTGATGCATTATCTGAATCACTCTAGGACGACATTCTCACTGGCACTGTTGACAGACAATTATTGGCCCTTACCAAATTACTAGTCAGCCTACAAGCAATGTATGTACAAAATCCACGGATCAGCCCAGGTTTGGCTACAATTGTAGAATGGCAGCTAACAATAAGATGAGAGCCTGGAACCGTTACAATCGCCATCCCACACAAAGAAATAAAGATGTTCATGCTATGGCTTGCAGGGGAATGAAAGCTGTCCAAAATGGGCAATTAATCAATGGAACGAGGACCTCTGATTAAAACTGCATTAAACAGCAACAAGGATTTTCACCTGATGACTGCATCCCCCCTCTCAACAAGGGACGGGGGATCAGCTGCAACCTCCAGCAGAGAGAAGGCTGAACCTGACCGACCTTCTCCAAGTCTGGCTCTCGTGACTTATTCGAAGCTTAGCTCTTTCGTGATCATTTAAGCAGAAGTCAGGCAGCATCTAAATAAGGTTGATGTCCATAAGGCCATAGCACCAACCATGCCACGCGACCCACAAAAGGAGTGTGAAACTAGGATCTAACTAGCTCCAGAGACATTATCTAGCTACTCATACATGAGTAATGATAGGGAGGTTTTATACACACTCTCCATGGGCACTCGGTGGAAATTGATTTAGAAATTCGAAACCGTCAGATATACTGAGGTATATATATGAAAGATGGAATCATGCAGTACCGCATTGATAAAGATATATAACAATCCTCCCTGACCAGGCCTCGAACCTAGTCACTCCAGGTACTAAACAACCATGCCACGCGAAACTAGGATCTAACTAGCTCCAGAGACATTAACTATCTACTCATACATGAGTAATGACAGCGTGGTCTCATACCCGGAGTGACCTAGGTTCGAGGCCTGGTCAGGGAGGATTATTATATATTACAAAACATCTTTTGGAATAAAGTTTATAAAGAGAGAGAGAGAGAGAGAGAGAGAGGAAAACCTTATCTGAATGAGTATGTATACACATATACATGCATATATGTGTGTGTGGTGTGTGTGTGTGTGTGTGTGTGGTATGTGTGTGTGTGTGTGTGTGCACGCGTGTGCGTGCGTACGTGCATGTGTTTGTGTCTACAGATATACATATGCGTTCATTCAAATACAGACTCACACAGATGCAAGTACTCATAGGCCTATATGACTCTCGACAGAAGGCTAGAAGAATTTAAGCGACTCCTTTCTTTCCAGGAGGAACACAGAACAGAACTGCAGAACGTCACAGAAAAGGAACAAGAAAAAGAAGCGACGATGAAGAATGAAATAATCCGTTTAAAGGAAACGATTGTAAGTAAAGACGAGAAGATCAAGTACAAGGTGAGGTAGAAATAGAAAGATAAAGATTTGAGAGAGGGGGAGAGGGAAGAAAGAAGGAGAGGGGGAAAGGGAAGAAAGAAGGAGAGGGGGAGAGGGAAGAAAGAAGGAGAGGGGGAGAGGGAAGAAAGAAGGAGAGGGGGAGAGGGAAGAAAGAAGGAGGGGGGGAGAGGGAAGAAAGAAGGAGAGGGGGGGAGGGAAGAAAGAAGGAGAGGGGGAGAGGGAAGAAAGAAGGAGAGGGGGAGAGGGAAGAAAGAAGGAGAGGGGGAGAGGGAAGAAGGAGAGGGGGAGAGGGAAGAAAGGAGAGGGGGAGAGGGAAGAAAGAAGGAGAGGGGGAGAGGGGAAAAAGAAGGAGAGGGGGAGAGGGAAGAAAGAAGGAGAGGGGGAGAGGGAAGAAAGAAGGAGAGGGGGAGAGGGGAAAAAGAAGGAGAGGGGGAGAGGGAGGAAAGAAGGAGAGGGGGAGAGGGAAGAAAGAAGGAGAGGGGGAGAGGGGAAAAAGGAGAGGGGGAGAGGGAAGGAAGAAGGAGAGGGGGAGAGGGAAGAAAGAAGGAGAGGGGGAGAGGGAAGAAAGAAGAGGGGGAGAGGGAAGAAAGAAGAGGGGGAGAGGGAAGAAAGAAGGAGAGGGGGAGAGGGAAGAAAGAAGGAGAGGGGGAGAGGGAAGAAAGAAGGAGAGGGGGAGAGGGAGGAAAGAAGGAGAGGGGGAGAGGGAAGAAAGAAGGAGAGGGGGAGAGGGAAGAAAGAAGGAGAGGGGGAGAGGGAAGGAAAGAGAGGGAAGGAGAGAGAGAGGGGGAGACTGATGAAGAGAGAGAAAAAGAGAGAGAGACAGAGACAGAGACAGACAGTCAAAGAGATGGATAGATAGATAGAGCGAGAGGCGGGGGGGGGGGGGGCGGGGAGAAAGAGAGAGAGAGAGAGAGAGAGAGGAAAACCTTATCTGAATGAGTATGTGTACACATATACATGCATATGTGTGTGTGTGTGTGTGTGTGTGTGTGTGTGTGTGGGTGCGCGTGTGCGTACGTACGTGCATGTGTTTGTGTCTACAGATATACATATGCGTTCATTCAAATACAGACTCACACAGATGCAAGTACTCATAGGCCTATATGACTCTCGACAGAAGGCTAGAAGAATTTAAGCGACTCCTTTCTTTCCAGGAGGAACACAGAACAGAACTGCAGAACGTCACAGAAAAGGAACAAGAAAAAGAAGCGACGATTAAGAATGAAATAATCCGTTTAATGGAAACGATTGTAAGTAAAGACGAGAAGATCAAGTACAAGGTGAGGTAGAAATAGAAAGATAAAGATTTGAGAGAGGGGGAGAGGGAAGAAAGGAGAGGGGGAGAGGGAAGAAAGAAGGAGAGGGGGAGAGAGAAGAAAGAAGGAGAGGGGGAGAGGGAAGAAAGAAGGAGGGGGGGAGAGGGGAGAAAGAAGGAGAGGGGGAGAGGGAAGAAAGAAGGAGGAGGGGAGAGAGAAGAAAGGAGAGGGGGAGAGGGAAGGAAGAAGGAGGGGGGGAGAGGGAAGAAAGAAGGAGAGGGGGGGAGGGAAGAAAGAAGGAGGGGGGGAGAGGGAAGAAAGAAGGAGAGGGGGAGAGGGAAGAAAGAAGAGGGGGAGAGGGAGGAAAGAAGGAGAGGGGGAGAGGGAAGAAAGAATGAGAGGGGGAGAGGGAAGAAAGAAGGAGAGGGGGAGAGGGAAGAAAGAAGGAGAGGGGGAGAGGGAAGAAAGAAGGAGAGGGGGAGAGGGAAGGAAAGAGAGGGAAGGAGAGAGAGAGGGGGAGACTGATGAAGAGAGAGAAAAAGAGAGAGAGAGAGACAGAGACAGAGACAGACAGTCAAAGAGATGGATAGATAGATAGAGCGAGAGGCGGGGGGGGGGGGGGGAGAAAGAGAGAGAGAGAGAGAGAGGAAAACCTTATCTGAATGAGTATGTGTACACATATACATGCATATGTGTGTGTGTGTGTGTGTGTGTGTGTGGGCGCGCGTGTGCGTGCGTACGTGCATGTGTTTGTGTCTACAGATATACATATGCGTTCATTCAAATACAGACTCACACAGATGCAAGTACTCATAGGCCTATATGACTCTCGACAGAAGGCTAGAAGAATTTAAGCGACTCCTTTCTTTCCAGGAGGAACACAGAACAGAACTGCAGAACGTCACAGAAAAGGAACAAGAAAAAGAAGCGACGATGAAGAATGAAATAATCCGTTTAAAGGAAACGATTGTAAGTAAAGACGAGAAGATCAAGTACAAGGTGAGGTAGAATAGAAAGATAAAGATTTGAGAGAGGGGGAGAGGGAAGAAAGGAGAGGGGGAGAGGGAAGAAAGAAGGAGAGGGGGAGAGGGAAGAAAGAAGGAGAGGGGGAGAGGGAAGAAAGAAGGAGAGGGGGAGAGGGAAGAAAGAAGGAAGGGGGGAGAGGGAAGAAAGAAGGAGAGGGGGGGAGGGAAGAAAGAAGGAGGGGGGGAGAGGGAAGAAAGAAGGAGAGGGGGAGAGGGAAGAAAGAAGGAGAGGGGGAGAGGGAAGAAAGAAGGAGAGGGGGAGAGGGCAGAAAGAAGGAGAGGGAGAAAGGGAAGAAAGAAGGAGAGGGGGAGAGGGAAGAAAGAAGGAGAGGGAGAAAGGGAAGAAAGAAGGAGAGGGGGAGAGGGAAGAAAGAAGGAGAGGGGGAGAGGGAAGAAAGAAGGAGAGGGGGAGAGAGAAGAAAGAAGGAGGGGGGGAGAGGGAAGAAAGAAGGAGAGGGGGAGAGGGAAGAAAGAAGGAGAGGGGGAGAGGGAAGAAAGAAGGAGAGGGGGAGAGAGAAGAAAGAAGGAGAGGGGGAGAGGGGGGAAAGAAGGAGAGGGGGAGAGGGGAAAAAGAAGGAAAGGGGGAGGGGGAAGAAAGAAGGAGAGGGGGAGAGGGAAGGAAAGAGAGGGAAGGAGAGAGAGAGGGGGAGACTGATGAAGAGAGAGAGAAAGAGAGAGAGAGACAGAGACAGAGGCAGACAGACAAAGAGATGGATAGATAGATAGATAGAGCGAGAGGCGAGGGGGGGGGGGGAGAAAGAGAGAGAGAGAGAGAGAGAGAGAGAGAGAGAGAGAGAGAGAGAGGAAAACCTTATCTGAATGAGTATGTGTACACATATACATGCATATATGCGTGTGTATGTGTGTGTGTGTGTGCATATATAAGAGAGTATCTAAGGAATGAATTTATTATTATTTTTATATACTAATTTAAAATGTTTATATATATATGTGATAATAATCTATGTTTATATAAATTGATAATGTGTGTGTGTGTGTGTGTGCATGTGTGTGTGTGTGTGTGTGTGTGTGTGTGTGTGTGCGTGCGCTTGTGTACGTGCATGTGTTTGTGTATACAGATATACATGTGTTCATTCAGATACAGACTCACACAGATGCAAGTACCCATAGGCCTATATGACTCTCGACAGAAGGCTAGAAGAATTTAAACGACTCCTTTCTTTCCAGGAGGAACACAGAACAGAACTGCAGAACGTCACAGAAAAGGAACAAGAAAAAGAAGCGACCATGAAGAATGAAATAATCCGTTTAAAGGAAACAATTGTAAGTAGAGACGATGCAGGAGACCCGGGCAGCTTCTGCAGGAGGAGACCCGGGCAGCTTCTGCAGAAGGAGACCCGGGCAGCTTCTGCAGAAGGAGACCCGGGCAGCTTCTGCAGAAGGAGACCCGGGCAGCTTCTGCAGAAGGAGACCCGGGCAGCTTCTGCAGGAGACCCGGGCAGCTTCTGCAGGAGGAGACCCGGGCAGCTTCTGCAGGAGGAGGCCTAGAATAGAGTCAGAGGCAGAGTCCGACCGTGAGGAAGAGTGTGTGTAGGAGTCAAGGTCAGAGGTCACGACCGAAGTTCAGCACGGCGGCGATGCCATGGGCACGCCGCCCTCGTAGGTCACTCCTGCCAGTTGGAGGGCGTGACATTGAAGATATCTGACCACTCTCAGAGAGAGATAGACAGAGAGATAAATAGATAGAGATGCTTTGAAAGAAAAGATCAAGGCGATGGAGGTGAGAGAGGGGGGGAGGATGGGAATGAGAGAGAGAGAGAGAGAGAGAGAGAGAGAGAGAGAGAGAGAGAGAGAAAGAATGGGAATGAGAGAGAGAGAGAGAGAGAGAGTGAGTGAGTGAGTGAGAGAGAGAGAGAGAATGGGAATGAGAGAGAGAGAGAGAGAGAGAGAGAGAGAATGGGAATGAGAGAGAGAGAGAGAGAGAGAGAGAATGGGAATGAGAGAGAGAGAGTGAGAGAGAGAGAGAGAGAGAGAGAGAGGAGAATGGGAATGAGAGAGAGAGAGACCGAGAGAGAGGGAAAGAGAGAGAGAGTGAGAGAGAGAGAGAGAGAGAGAAAGAGATAGATAGATAGATAGATAGAGAGTGACTGTGAGTGAGTGAGTGGGAGAGAGAGACTGAGAGAGAGAGAAAGAGAAAGAGATAGATAGATAGATAGGTAGAGAGAGAGTGACTGTGAGTGAGTGAGTGGGAGATAGAGACTGAGAGAGAGAGAGAGAGAGAGAGAGAGAGAGGAGAATGGGAATGAGAGAGAGAGAGAGACCGAGAGAGAGGGAAAGAGAGAGAGAGAGTGAGAGAGAGAGAGAGAGAAAGAGATAGATAGATAGATAGATAGGTAGAGAGAGAGTGACTGTGAGTGAGTGAGTGGGAGAGAGAGACTGAGAGAGAGAGTGAGAGAGAGAGAGAAAGAGATAGATAGATAGATAGAGATAGAGAGAGAGAGAGAGAGGAGCCGACTGGTGCGCAGGTTGACATGAGATTTCCCTAAACAGGAGCATTATCTCTTTCTCTCTCGTCTCCTCTCCTCTCTAATCCCCATCTGATTCTCCTTTCTCTCTCTTGCACTCTATTTACATTCTCTCTCTCCTTACCGTTTGTTTCTCCGCCCCTCCCCCCCCTCCCCCACCTCTCCTGCATCAAGCATATTTTGCTCTTTCCTTCTTGTTTCCTCTTCTCTTTCCCCCCCCCCCCTCCCCACACACACGCAAATGAGAGAATAACGAAAAATGGAACAACCAACGATGGAGATCCGTTTCAGGCCCAGCATCAGGAGGAAAAGGAGAGCGGAGAGGATGAACAGCGAGAAAGGGAGAGGGAGGCAGCCAGCGAGAACAAGATGCTGAACTCAAAAATTGCTGTCCTGAAGGAGACGATTCAGATACTACAGGTGAGGCTTTTATCCTTATTATTATTACTATTGTTATTATTATTATTACTATTATTATTACCTCCGCCAAGGAGGTTATGTTTTTGACGGCGTTGGTTTGTTGGTTTGTTTGTTAGCAGCCTAGCTCAAAAAGTGCCGGCCGGATTTCATCGAATTTTTGGGGCCAAGTCAGAAAGGGACTAACTTAGAACTGATTAAATTTTGGTGACATTCCGAATTACCGTCTGGTTATTATTATTATTATCATTATTTAATCAATAAACAAGTTTGGAACACAAATCTACGGTAAACGTGTGCCACATTTCACTGACATTCCGAATTACCGTCTGGACGCAGCAGCGGTGTAAGTACATTATATACGCACCTTGGCGGGGTCTGCACTCTCTGAGTGCTTTTCTAGTTATCATTATTATTATTATTATTATTATTATTATTGTTATTATTATTATTGTTATTATTATTATTATCATTATTGTTATTATTATCATTATTATTATTATTATTATTTTATATATCTATATATTCAGAAAACGAGACAGTTAATATCGGTGAGTTAAAAAAATATATATTTACCTATTTACTCAGGAAACGATTCAATTTAACACAGGTGAGTTATTTCATTTTTTTTATTCTTTACTTATTTCTTTATTGATTTTTTGGTCTGGTTACTCCCAAGCACATACAGGCGAGGCCACCCACACACACACATTCATACACCCGTAACCTTGTGGAAATATCTGCATGCACATCCATACACGTGCTTAATATATTCACTAATACGTTCTGTCGATATGATTAATGAAATAAGGTCGACTTTCCACGAGAAACTTCACCCCCTCCGCAGCTTTTGAAGAATATCAATGATGGTTCCAGACTTATTAGACTAAGGCATGTACCACGAGATTTTAAGGCACCATGAAAAAAAAAAATCCTGTATATCTTTTTCAAGGAACAAAATGCGAAGGAACTGCTGAGTCTCCGAAACGAGCAGCACTTGAAGGAAACCGAGGCAGCGACCCAGCTCAAGGCTCGAAACAGGAGAGTCAAGACGCTGAAGGTGAGGAGGAAGTCGGCCGTGAGTGACAAGAAGGAAACCACACACACACACACACACATACATATGTATATATATATGCGTGTGTGTGTGTTTATACATATATACATACATACATTAATAAATTGAAACACGTATATACATATACATTTACATATATGTTTAGACACACGCGCGTACACCCACACATACAAACACACACACACACACACACACATACATATGTATATATATATATGCGTGTGTGTGTGTTTATACATATATACATACATACATTAATAAATTGAAACACGTATATACATATACATTTACATATATGTTTAGACACACGCGCGTACACCCACACATACAAACACACACACACACACACACACACACACACACACATGTATATGTATACATATGTGTATATATCTGTGTGTTAACATACATATACATATATATATCTACCCACAGCTATGATTATTGTGAAGATATTCATCTTCATTCATACTCTTTCTATATTTACATTCATCCGCACTGTATTTACTTTTTAAAATCAATTCACAGCGTCAAGTCAAAGAGAAAGAGGCTGAAAATGAACGACTCATTTCGGAAGGAGAAAAAAATAAAATCAGCCAATTGGAGGTAATTGCTGGTGTACGTGCAGAGTATATAGTACATTGTGTATAAAGTGTATTGCATATGTAGCGTATTGTATATTGTATATTGTGTATATAGTGTACTGTGTAAATAGTATATTGGACGCAATTCGTTGATGTATTTAATGAAATAAAGTGAAAATATAAATAACCGAAGTATCCCAGCATGAAATATTTGAAATAATGGATAACTGCCGAAACGTTTGATGGAACGCTAAAATGTTTGTTTGTTTGTTTTTTTGCTTCAGGCCCAGCTAGAGCAAAAGGAGGCTTTGATAAAAACTTTGAGATCCCGACTGAAACGGAGAGATAGTCAAATAAAGAAAGTGGAGGTGAGTGTCTCTGCTTATGGTGTTTGTGTGTGCTTGCGTATGTCTCTCCCCCCCTCTCTTCCTTCCTCCCTCCCTCCCTCTCTCTCTCTCTATATATATATATGTATATATATTTATATCCAAATATATGTATATGTATATATACATATACATATATTTATATATATATATATACATATATTTGGATGTAAATATATATCTGTCTATATATAGACATATATATGTATATCTATCTATCTGTCTATCTATCTATCTATACACAGCATAGATATATTTGTATATATGAATATATACACACACACACATACATTATCACATCAATTTGAGTAAAAATATCTTATTTGTGTATCTAGCGAAATGAAACATAAAGCGAACACCTAAACCATGAACAGTTTACCTAGAAAGACACACGACGTATACCAGATGCTCTTTATCTCTTTATCAGATACTAATATATTTTTCCCTTTTCGAGAACAGGAATCTCTTGAGGCTCTAAAGCAACCAGACAACGAAGACGAGAGTGAATCTGACGAGGTTTCCGAAGCAGAAAATACGGACGAGTCTTTATAAACAGAATCCTAACTAGCTCTACAGATGGGGGCTACGTACTTTTTTCCCCCTCATGCTGATTTCTCTTCGGGCCGTAGGTTGGCTACCCATACGAGGCGTAGAGACTGATAAAGGATCCCATATGCGCTGTCCACCAGCTCGAAGAGGGCTGACCATGTTGGACACAAGTAGGCCAATAAGGAATATTCCCATGTGGCTGTATCTTTCAATAATATGTATACGTTTTAGTTTATTTCAGGAGTTAGATAAAAGGCAAAATTATATATATATACACAAATATATACATACATATATACACAGATGAAATGAATATACGCATACGTACTGTACAGTGCGTGTTGTGGTCGGCGGTTAAAGTATTGTAGAATATAATATTATTACCATTATTATTATTAGAATCAGTTGTTCTTGTTAAAATCATGTTTATACCATTGCTGCTATTGTAACTATTATTGTTATATTATTGTTATACTGTAGTATTTCTCTGAGACTCTAAGGAAACACGTATAAATATATTGGCAAGTGTTCCTGTCACTATCATTTGTAAGCGGTCCAAATCTGTGCTTTTGTCACAACATTTCTTCTAATTGGTCATTGTCTTATATATGATGTTATTACTTTACTGTCAGATATTGTCCCAAGGAGAGAACTTTGTTGTTTCCCATTTGTCAGAGTAAGTGGTGTTTATGTAAGAGAAGCGAAGAATACACACACATACACACACACGCACGCGCACACACACACACACAAACACACCAACATATATATATATACATATATCTATTTCATATTTTTTTCTGGTTAACCGTTTAAATTTAAATTAAAGATGAAGATCTTTACGCTTTATCTTTATGGGTATGGATATGGAATATGATGAAATGTAAATAAAAGGATATATTATGAAATACTTTTTACTATGTTTTATGATCCTAATGCAACTCCTTCGTGATTTTCTTTACACACTGGGGGTGGGGGTGGAAGCGAACCCTAATGTCTTGAGGTACAAAGGCCCTCAGATTCAAAGGACCAGAAAAGGATGGTGGTGTTTTGAGTGACAGAGATACGAGCCATTATCCGAAATGACTCCGGAATGATATAAAAATCTATGACATAAATTTCGTAAGGATCTATTGCTATTGTTGAAAAGACCAACTCTGGCGCACACGCTCTTAGAC